CAGTAAAAAATATCTTACCCCTGTGGAGATTGCGTCTTAGTGGGGCAGAGAGTTACATATGTATGTTTAACCTGTATATATGTATGTGTAAAATCTCACACAGACACACATATTAGTGATAATTGCCATGAAGGAAAATAAAACAGGATAAGGGAATGGAAAGAGGGTGACAGGGGTGCTGCCACTTATGGGATCATTGGCTAAGACTCCTACAAGGAGATGACATTTGAGCAGCACCTTAATGAAGTAGGGGGCTGGAGTTATACAGATTTCAGAGGAAGAGAACATTCTTGGTGGAAGGAACGGCAAATGCAGACACCTAAAGAGGCACATGCTTGATGTCATGTGCCTCCAGTCTGCAGCTGGACTGGAGAGAGTGACAGAGTGAGATGGCGGGGAGTGATAGCAAAGGAGGTGATGGTGTGTGCAGGGGCCAGCTCAGGCAGAGCTTATACGCCCAGAGAATGATGGAGAACTTTATCTGAGTGTCATGGAAAGTCACTGAAGGAGTGAGAGCCAAAGAGTGAAATGATCTGATTAGATTGTTAAAGGATACTCTGGCAGCTCTGTGGAAAACAGACTGGGAATGGGGTTCAGAATGGAATTAGGAAGACTGTTGGAGGTGATTGCAGCATCCAGGTAGGAAATATTGGTGGTTTGTACTAGGGTGACAAAGCAGTTGGGTGGTGAGAAGTGGTCTGAAACTGGATATATTTTGGATGGAGCACTGAAATGTTTTGCCAGAAGGATGAAAAGAGGGATGAGAGAGATAGGATGACCCTAAGGTTTAAGTGTAAGCAAATAAAAGAGATGGAAAGAGAAGATCGTTTCTGTTGTCTTAAAAGGGGAAACTGGCACCACGCTGTCTCCGTGATTGTCTTGTTTTTTTCAATTAGCTCTACAATGTCTTTCCACGGATAATGAAGTTCCTTCCTGGACCCCACCGAACACTCTTTAGCAACTGGGAGAAACTGAAATTGTTTGTTGCCCGTATGATTGAAAACCACAAGAGAGATTGGAATCCTGCCGAAACAAGAGACTTTATTGATGCTTACCTCAAGGAAATAGAAAAGGTGAGGATACCAAAGTTGTTTCCTATGTTTTGTTCTTAACGAGCGAATGAGGGTAGACTCAGTTCCTATTTCTGCCGTGACAAATTACCACAAACTTGGAGTCTTAAAACAACACAAATTTATTCTCTTACAGTTCTGGAGGTCAGAAGTCTGAAATCAGTTTCACTGGGCTAAAGTCAAGGTGTTGGCAGGGCTAGCTCCTTTTGGAAGCTCTAGGGGAGAATCCATTTCCTTGACTTTTCCAGCTTCCCATA